AAGTGTGAAATTATGCTTAGTCCAATGGTATGGACTGCAGACTCTAAATCTGAAGGTTGTGGGTTCAAATCCAGGTTGGAAATTTTAGATTTTAGATTTTATTTATTTTTGGGTAAATTGAAACTTCATAGTTAATTTCGTAACATTTAAAAAATTGTGAAATTACACTTAGTCCAATGGTATGGACTACTGACTCGGAATCTGAAGGTTGTGGGTTCAATTCCAGGGTGGGAATTTTAGATTTTAAAATTTTATTACTTTTGGGGTAAATTAAAAATTATAGTTAATTTCGTAACCTTTAAAAAGTGTGAAATTAGGCTTAGTCCAATGGTATGGACTACTGACTCGAAATCTGAAGGTTGTGGTTCAAATCCAGGGTGGAAATTTTAGATTTTAAAATTTTATGTCTTTTTGGGTAAATTTAAATTTGATAGTTAATTTTGTAACCACAAAAAAGTGTGAAATTATGCTTAGCCCAATGGTATGGACTGCTGACTCTAAATCTGAAGGTTACGGGTTCAAATCTGGGGGGGGGGTGGAGTTTTGTTTTATAAAATTTTATGTCTTTTTGGGTAAATTTAAACTTGATAGTTAATTTTAACCACTAAAAAGTGTGAAATTATGCTTAGTCCAATGGTACGGAGGCTGACTTGAAATCTGAAGGTTGTGGGTTCAAATCCAGGGTGGAGTTTTGGTTTTGAAATTTTATGTCTTTTTGGGTAAATTTAAACTTGATAGTTAATTTCGTAACCACTAAAAAGTGTGAAATTATGCTTAGTCCAATGGTATGGACTGCTGACTCTAAATCTGAAGGTTGTGGGTTCAATTCCAGGTGGGAATTTTAGATTTTAAAATTTTATTACTTTTTTGGGTAAATTAAATCATTATAGTTAATTTCGTAACCTTTAAAAATTGTGAAATTATGCTTTGTCCAATGGTATGGACTGCTGACTCTAAATCTGAAGGTTGCGGGTTCAAATCCAGGTTGGAAATTTTAGATTTTAGATTTCATTTATTTTTGGGTAAATTGAAACTTCATAGTTAATTTCGTAACATTTAAAAATCGTGAAATTACACTTAGTCCAATGGTATGGACTACTGACTCGAAATCTGAAGGTTGTGGGTTCAATTCCAGGGTGGGAATTTTAGATTTTAAAATTGTATTACTTTTTGGGGTAAATTAAAACATTATAGTTAATTTCGTAACCTTTAAAAATTGTGAAATTACACTTAGTCCAATTGTATGGACTACTGACTCTAAATCTGAAGGTTGTCGGTTCAAATCCAGGGTGGAAATTTTAGATTTTAAAATTTTATGTCTTTTGGGGTAAATTTAAATTTATTAGTTAATTTCGTACCCACAAAAAAGTGTGAAATTATGCTTAGTCAAATGGTATGGACTGCTGACTCTAAATCTGAAGGTTGCGGGTTCAAATCCAGGTTGGAAATTTTAGATTTTATTTATTTTTGGGTAAATTGAAACTTCATAGTTAATTTCGTAACATTTAAAAATTGTGAAATTACACTTAGTCCAATGGTATGGACTACTGACTCGAAATCTGAAGGTTGTGGGTTCAATTCCAGGGTGGGAATTTTAGATTTTAAAATTTTATGTCTTTTTGGGTAAATTTAAATTTTATAGTTAATTTCGTAACGACAAAAAAGTGTGAAATTATGCTTAGTCCAATGGTATGGACTGCTGACTCTAAATCTGAAGGTTGCGGGTTCAAATTCAGGTTGGAAATTTTAGATTTTATTTATTTTTGGGTAAATTGAAACTTCATAGTTAATTTCGTAACATTAAAAATTGTGAAATCAACTTAGTCCAATGGTATGGACTACTGACTCGAAATCTGAAGGTTGTGGGTTCAATTCCAGGGTGGGAATTTTAGATTTTAAAATTTTATTACTTTTTTGGGTAAATTAAAACATTATAGTTAATTTCGTAACCTTTAAAAAGTGTGAAATTATGCTTAGTCCAATGGTATGGATTACTGACTCGAAATCTGAAGGTTGTGGGTTCAAATCCAGGGTGGAAATTTTAGATTTTAGATTTTATTTATTTTGGGGTAAATTTAAATTTTATAGTTAATTTCATAACCACTAAAAAGTGTGAAATTATGCTTAGTCCAATGGTATGGACTGCTGACTCTAAATCTGAAGGTTGCGGGTTCAAATTCAGGTTGGAATTTTAGATTTTATTTATTTTTGGGTAAATTGAAACTTCATAGTTAATTTCGTAACATTTAAAAATTGTGAAATCAACTTAGTCCAATGGTATGGACTACTGACTCGAATCTGAAGGTTGTGGGTTCAATTCCAGGGTGGGAATTTTAGATTTTAAAATTTTATTACTTTTTGGGTAATTAACATTATAGTTAATTTCGTAACCCTTAAAAATTGTGAAATTACACTTAGTCCAATGGTATGGACTACTGACTCTAAATCTGAAGGTTGTCGGTTCAAATCCAGGGTGGAAATTTTAGATTTTAAAATTTTATGTCTTTTTGGTAAATTTAAATTTAATAGTTAATTTCGTACCCACAAAAAAGTGTGAAATTATGCTTAGTCCAATGGTATGGACTGCTGACTCTAAATCTGAAGGTTGCGGGTTCAAATCCAGGTTGGAAATTTTAGATTTTATTTATTTTTGGGTAAATTGAAACTTCATAGTTAATTTCGTAACATTTAAAAATTGTGAAATTACACTTAGTCCAATGGTATGGACTACTGACTCGAAATCTGAAGGTTGTGGGTTCAAATCCAGGATGGGAATTTTAGATTTTAAAATTTTATTACTTTTTGGGTAAATTAAAACATTATAGTTATTTTGTAACCTTTAAAAAGTGTGAAATTAGGCTTAGTCCAATGGTATGGACTACCGACTCGAAATCTGAAGGTTGCGGGTTCAATTCCAGGGGGGGAATTTTAGATTTTAAAATTTAGTTCTTTTTGGGTAAATTTAAACTTGATAGTTAATTAATTACTGACTCTAAATCTGAAGGTTGTGGGTTCAAATCCAGGTTGGAAATTTTAGATTTTAGATTTTATTTATTTTTGGGTAAATTTAAATTTTATAGTTAATTTCATAACCACTAAAAAGTGTGACATTATGCTTAGTCCAATGGTACGGACGGCTGACTTGAAATCTGAAGGTTGTGGGTTCAAATCCAGGGGTGGAGTTTGTTTTTGAAATTTTATGTCTTTTGGGTAAATTTAACTTTATAGTTAATTTCGTAACCACTAAAAGTGTGAAATTATGCTTAGTCCAATGGTATGGACTGCTGACTTGAAATCTGAAGGTTGTGGGTTCAATTCCAGGGTGGGAATTTTAGATTTTAAAATTTTATTACTTTTTTGGGTAAATTAAATCATTATAGTTAATATCGTAACCTTAAAAATTGTGAAATTACACTTAGTCCAATGGTATGGACTACTGACTCTAAATCTGAAGGTTGTGGGTTCAAATCCAGGTTGGAAATTTTAGATTTTAGATTTTATTTATTTTTGGGTAAATTTAAATTTTATAGTTAATTTCATAACCACTAAAAAGTGTGAAATTATGCTTAGTCCAATGGTATGGACTGCTGACTCTAAATCTGAAGGTTGCGGGTTCAAATCCAGGTTGGAAATTTTAGATTTTAGATTTTATTTATTTTTGGGTAAATTGAAACTTTATAGTTAATATCGTAACATTTAAAAATCGTGAAATTACACTTAGTCCAATGGTATGGACTACTGACTCGAAATCTGAAGGTTGTGGTTCAATTCGAGGGTGGGAATTTTAGATTTTAAAATTTTATCTTTTTGGGGTAAATTAAAACATTATAGTTAATTTCGTAACCTTTAAAAAGTGTGAAATTAGGCTTAGTCCAATGGTATGGACTACTGACTCGAAATCTGAAGGTTGCGGGTTCAATTCCAGGGGGGGAATTTTAGATTTTAAAATTTAGTTCTTTTTGGGTAAATTTAAACTTGATAGTTAATTTTGTAACCACTAAAAAGTGTGAAATTATGCTTAGTCCAATGGTAGGGACGGCTGACTTGAAATCTGAAGGTTGTGGGTTCAAATCCAGGGGTGGAGTTTTGGTTTTTGAAATTTTATGTCTTTTGGGGTAAATTTAACTTCATAGTTAATTTCGTAACCACTAAAAAGTGTGAAATTATACTTAGTCCAATGGTATGGACTGCTGACTTGAAATCTGAAGGTTGTGGGTTCAAATCCAGGGTGGGAATTTTAGATTTTAAAGTTTTATTTCTTTTGGGTAAATTGAAACTTGATAGTTAATTCCGTAACCACTAAAAAGCATGAAATTATGCTTAGTGCAGTGGTTCAGACTGCTGACTCTAAATCTAAAGGTTGCAGGTTCATTCCCACGCTGGGAATTTTAGATTTCAAAATTTTACTACTTTTTAGGTCAATTGAAACTTTACAGTTAATTTTGTAACCACGAAATAGTGTGAAGTTGTGCTTAATCAAGTAATACGGACTGATGACCCTAAATCTGAACTTCTGAAGGTTGCTGGTTCAAGTCCCACAGTTGGAGTTTTAGATTTTAAAATTTTATTAATTTTGAGGTCAATTGAAATTTATATTTTTTTCAAGTTTGAAACCAGTCCACACTTCTAGTCTAGCAAAAGCCAAAAAGTAAAAAAGCAAATACTTTTAGCTTGAAGCAAATAGTGAAAGCATTTGCTCTCATTTTTATTCATGCAAATAAAAGTTATGCTTAAAAATATGTAGTAAAAAAAAAGCAAATGCTAGTTTTTATACATACGACCAAATGTTTCAATGTTAATCATAATTGCATCGTTTATGTTTCAGTAATAGATTTGAGGACCTACATGGATCTGTTTGGGCCTACAACGACGCCCATTCACTGAGCGGATTCGGGATTGCCCATCGAGAACTCGAAAAGATAGGAGAGACCAAGGCCAGTTGCTTTGGTAAAATTTTTCATTCAGGTAAGACAAACTTCCATGAAGACTCAACTCATTAGTTCAAGTCCCCCCCCCCCCCAACTAAGCCCTCGGACAACACTGAGTGTACGCTGTTTACACAATATGTCCGGTTTTATTTAGTTAAGTGGCTTTCAGGCTGTTAGTTCTCCCACATTTTAATGGTGGTCCCTCATTTGACATGTTGTCATCAAACGTTCTTTTGTCAAAGCCATCGGGGCAGAATATTTTTGGCATGCTGTTGGAAAGAACCAATTTTCAACTTTTGTTCTTGTGAAAATCCTGTTGCGTGACATCACAGCCTGTGTTGTGATATGAATGAGTTCTACCTGATTGATAAACGTGACCCGACTCAGAGGTGGCATGTCTTGATGACAGTCCCTCGCTTGTCAGTTGGTACAGAATGTCATTTGGTGACAAGTGAACGTCCTTATCCAAAGTCAAGGAGTCATGTCCAACAGTATCTCCGGGGTTATCCACGATGTTGCCGAGCGGCTCCGAATCCTCCTCAGACGTTATCGTCATGACGACTGTCTGCTCCATGTTCCCAAGGGTGCCCTCCGAGGACGACATCATGGCCATGTTTGAGATGTCCTGTGATTGGTCAGCCAGGTCTGGTACCAAGACTGTAGATTCAGCTGCAGATTCCTCGGGGGCTGATTTGGATAATGCGCAGGCCTGAGCGTACAGCCGTAGCTGTGCTAGATGGTGGTGCAGCAGCTGGGTGTGCTCCTCAGACATGTGTTGCAGTAACTCTTGCAAAATGGACTGGTTCTCGCTGTCGTTGGTTAGACGTTTCAAACTGGACGTGTGAATCATGGACAGCTGCTGCTTGAGTGACATGTTTGTGTTGGACAAATACTCAACCTGGAGGGCAAGACGGATGGGCAGAGAAATTATTTGTTTACAGATGGAATTTTAATAGACCAATCCATTAGGCTCTGCCCCATGATGTGTAACCAATCACAACCATGACAGCGCACACCAAAGTCTGACATTTATGCACTTCATGATGTGTGCAGTTGGAGCTTGAATGCTTAAGAAGGCACATGTGTTGTTACCCAGTTATTTAGTGCAACTAGAGTTTGAGTGAAACCACGAATCCTCTACACAAGGATAAACGACACATCTGAGCTTGTGTACAAAATGTGTGCAACAATTTGTCTGCATTTATCATAAGCAGCGTCAGCGCATAAAACAACGTAGAACGTGTAGAAAATGTAGAGCAATGACAACAACAGTGCACACCATGATCGCCCACAGCCATGACAGCTGGCATCCTGACAGAAATCTGACCACTGAAAGAACGCAGTCGCATTAGTGTGCCTGCATTAGTTCTGATCAAGGTATGTCCCCCCTCCCACTTTTGAGAAGCGATTGACGCCCTTGGTACCTGTTGCATGCAGGGAACAAGATCCAAACTCATTCTTAGACCAAGACCAGATGGAATGCCCACTCACCTTTGTACGAAGCCTTTCTATAGTACCTTTCATTCTGTGCTCTGTCTGGGCCCACGTGGTCCGCTCCTCCTCAAGAGTCTTTTCCAGACTTTCCTTCTCCTGCAGCAGCAGCGACAAGTTGTGCTCTGTGTAGCAAGTCTCGTCCTCCAAATCCTCTTTGCTTCCTTCATCTGGTATTTCAATAAGGACAACTGTTTACGAAAGGGAAAGGTTGAGTAATTATCCTGGATAATGATTCCTGTAATAATGAAAGTCGGTCATCAAAAGGTCACTCCAGGTGTGGGCTACACAAAGAGGGGAAATGATGGGAGGAGTTTATGGAGTAGAAAGGTCGACATATATGTTGCGCTTGAATGGGACAGATAATATGTAGCGGTAAAAACAGGATACAGGCAAGAAAGTCCCCAATGATGCAGTGTGTCAAGAACATGTAATTCCTTGTAACTGGGTGCAAGCAATCACTCACTTTTTCAAACCGTATTCCTAACATTAGGTGGGCAAGGTGAAGGACAAATGCCAATATTTAATTAATTGTTGAAGTCAGCTCTCAAAATGTACTGCCACCCTGACTTATTAGATTTTTTTTTGCTTAGAACCTTCCTAAATCCTCCAAAATTCAATCAACTTAAATAACACCAATGGCACACCCTTTGCACCTTGTAATTTCAATTTGTAAAATCCACTGTCAATATTGGCCCTCACCCACCCCAACCCCCTAAATAAATGCTGAACTTTTGGTTGTTGTTTTATTTATTTTATTGACCAAACAAGTGCAGGAGTGAAGACAACTGTATTAAACATGCTGTTGTCTACCCATTCCCTTCTTCCATATGGATTCACGATATATCAATTGAAAACAAAGCGGGGGGTGGGGTTGGGGGAAGAGTTCTTCCTTGCATCAAATGCCTCCCCCTTGGCTTTTTGGTCAGCTTCTTCTAATTATCCTTCACTGCTGGTGGCATTATCCTCCCTAACCTCTGGGTAGATGCTGCAGGATTCTTGGAGGGTCAGGGTTAATATTCTTACCATCTTACCTTCCCCATTGGCAGTGCTCTGGCTCGGATCATTGATGCAGGCGTACTGGTACTCGATCTGCGGCTGCTGCCCGTCAGTCTGCTCATAGCCCCGGGGATGATGTGTCCGTCTCTGATGGCTGCTGTGACTGGGGGACTATGAGGTGTGTTACCAGGCTGGTACTGTTGGGTGCTGGGTCAGTGTATGTGGTGAAGATCTGGTTGACATCCTGGGTATAAATGGTGGAGTGAAGTCGTTAAGGTTGATAAAATGTGACTAAAACCTGAACAGTTGCAAAAGATTCAATTTACGACACAAACGTACAGTGATAAAATTAGGTTCGCAATTAATCATTTTAAAAGGCACAAAGTGTTGGCATTTGATATAATCCACCCAAATCCTTGTAGAACTACCATACCTGCTCACAAGGTACATAAATTCAAACTGATTAAATTTATTTCATGGTGTTTTTTTTTTCATGCAGATTATACAAGGGGACCATTACATCACAGCAACGGCATACTCAGTTGTCTTGAAGCAGCACTGAAACTGTGGATGTTCAAAGTTTGATTGTGAAATTTATTTCAGGGAGTCTTCTGACCCTAAATCTCTAGCATGATTTACTAGGAACCATACCCATCCTGGCAAATTCCAACACCATATGGGAAACTGCACACACACACATACTACTTCTGACTTAGTTCAGGGGTACTGTACCCATCCCGACAGAATCCAACAAAACATGGTGTTGGGGTTTCACGGGTCAAGTTCTGTTTAGATGTAAGCTATAAATAAGTCTGTATCCGAGACAGGCTAGCTATATGACATATGTTGGCCCCATCATTGAGAACGCCGCTCCAGCCTGGGATCCCCACACTGAGAAAAATATAAAAAAACTGGAGCAATTTCAGCACAGCAGCGCCCGCTACATCACCGGCAACTACGACCGCACCTGCAGCGTAACATCAATGCTTAACGACTTGCACTAGAGTCCACTCAAGGCCAGGCGTCTCCAGTGCCGTCTAGGGATGCTTTATAGGATCCGCTTCAACTTGGTAGACATACACTGGAACACATCTAGTACTAGAGGTCACAGTTCACGGTTCTTCGTGCCCCATTGCACAACACTGGTCTGTTCCTCATCATTCTTCCCACAAACTTGCAGAGACTGGAACTCCCTGACATTGGACCCAGCCAGTCTACCGTCCCTCGATGCGTTCAAATCAGCATTGAGGGATGTTACTTACTAGCTTCAAGTTGTTCTGTTTTAACCTGCACTTCAGCACTACGTCACCAGCAACTACGACCGCACCTGCGTCCCGAGACACAGCTGGCGCTTGGGCATGGCCTGTGACAATTGAGTTTATTGAACACTGATATCTGCTAAGAATAACCAGCCCAGGTATCTGTCAATTTCATAAAACAACCACAAATGCCACTACCTTGTCCTGCTGTCCACTACCTTCAACTTATCTTAATTAACCCTAACCCTGCCACATGCAGCACAGTGCATCAGGTGGAAAAGTCTGGTGCACTTTGCTGCATTTCAGCTATCAACACCAGTGCATCAACAGCCAGTTCTGAAACAATGAGAGCTAATCCCATTGAACAATGCCTCAGTTGTATCCTGCTGCGTTCGAGGACCACAGACTCCGAGGCAATTTGGCTTTGAGACTTTTGACCTGATGGATCATGCTGCACTCGGCAGGCTTGTCACTTAGACAAGTGTTGCCTTCAACTCATATGGACCTTAAAAGTCATCTTGTAGCATGACCTGTGAAGAGAAAGTGAAAAACATTGTCCTTTGGCTAAACCTAAAACATATTTCTGGGATCCAGTCACAAGTATGCAAGCGCTTGGTCTTGTTCCCAAATGCAAACTCACCCCAAAAGTTGATGCCTTTATCCACGTGCTTGACCCTGTAGTGCGCCTTGAGGAGAATCTCATCAGTGAAGAGACTGTCCTGGGAGCAGAATGGACAGTGCAGATGCGGAGCCTTCATCAAGGAGTGGCTACACTCCCTGTCTGTGCATTGTATGGGCGTCCAGTCTGCCTCAGCGCCTTTCATCCACACTGATGGATGCGCCTATAGTTGCAAAAAAATTTATATGTATGATGTAAAAAAAAAAATATGTAAATGTATTAAACAGCAATGCCAATAAAATCAGTAAAAAAACCTCATTTTCAACTCAATCAAAACCTTCACAGAAATTTTCAAAGTGGAGGGGGGGGGGAACAAATTAGGCCAAATAAAAAAATAAAAAAACAAAAACATGTTAAGCGTCCCTGCCTGCTTCCTTTTTGGAGGCTGCCTCCTTTCGCTCCTTTTATTTTTTTCTTTCTTTTTTTAACCATTTTTTTTTTTAATTTTGGCCTCTTGCATTGTATCTGTTGCATCATGGAGCTATAAACACATTTCGATATAAAGCTGGTATGTAATTTTCTGAATTTAATGGCAGCCATTTAAAAAAAAACACCAAATGGCAGCCATCTTGAAAAATAGCCCTGTCGGGCGACCATTTTGGAGGATAGAAAAACAAGGGCCTCCCGCTTCCTTTTTTTTCAAAAAGCAGGACCCTAACTCCCCCTAAGCATGTTCTTTTTGGAAAGATTCCCGTATCCGGCCATCACTTGTCAATGTCATCCTGTGCAGAATGAGACTGGTCTGAAAATTTGTGTTTTTCTCAGTAAATACCCCAGTAAATTCCCTGCTAAATTTGACTTTTAAGGGCGAGCGTGAAGTGAAGGGCCCCTGTTTTATTTTGATCGAATTAGAGTCAAAAATATGTTTTTTTGCTCAAAAATCACCTTTACAATCAAAACAGACTTTTCTCAATTCATTCTAGTGAGACCCGTTTTGCAATTTTGAACAGATTCTAGGGGTAGAAAACATGATTTTCCTGCGTGGTTTGTGCCTTGCGATTCAGCACACGGTGCGTGCTCACGGTACATCGCATGGTGATCGCCATCTTGATTTTCAGGTCACGTGTTTTTCCCTAAAAAAACAAAACCCTGCCCTCTATCTATGACATACCTGTTGATTGAGAATGTCGCCAACTAGTTTGGTAGGTCTAATAATTTTTAAAGTGGAATGTTCCCTTATAATTATAGGAACCGGACCCTTCAATTCACGATCGCCCTTTTTAGGACATATTATTATTATCACTTTCTGATGGCTGATGGGTCGCTGAAGGAAAACATAAGTGATGGCCAGATATGGGAATCTTTCCGAAAGCCATTCAATATTATGAAGTGTCCGGAAACTGGGCGATTTAACATTTTGCTTTTTTGTTTTTTTTAAATTATTTTTACGACGAGGTGTCCTAGTCCTACTAAAAAATATAAATAATTTTTCAGAATCTCTTGGGTACCTACCATATGAATAGCCATGTTCAATAAATCCTTTGCCTTGAATAATCACATAAATAAATTCTTGGGGAAAATATTAAGTTGAAAAACTATAACTAGTGTTCAGCGTAAAGTTAAACAGCGCCCTCCAGGCAAAAAGTGGTTTAAAGGGTTTTTCCAAAATTCGAAGCCATTTACGGATTCGTCTGTTATAATAATTTGAAGATTATGAAATTTCCACACAGCTACTCAGAAAGCGTGAGTTGTCTATTAAGAAGAGACAAATAGGTGTTATTAGGCTTCCGTTACGGGAGACGTATGCGTCTCGTAAAAAAGAAGAAGACGGATGCCAGTTCAATGATGAAGCTGCGAGTCTGCGATGCAGACCGAGGTTTTGAAACAGCTTGCATGCTGCCAATCGAGCGACACATGAGGGCAGCATTCAACAACATAAACACGCGACTTGTGTAAATCTGCCGTTACCCGTATTCTTCTGACTCTGGTCTGAGTGGCTGAAAACTTTCTTATTTATTAGTATTACGTCAGTATCAGTACTACAAATTTGTTTTCATTAAAGTGACATTAATTTGGTTGTTTTTAATAGCTATTGGTGAAATCTGCATTATTTTATTTAGTGAAATGTACTGCAGAAGTAGCCGTAGACGCACTGCGTTCATAGCGTAACTTGTTATGATGTTTCGTCGTGTGTGTTCGTGAAAGTTTGAGATGCTTAGTTAGAAAAAGGAAAAATGTCCATACTGGGCCACCAATATAACCTGAAAAGTACCAAAAGTTGTAAATCTGATGGAAAAACACTATTAAGGAGTGCAAAAATTCTGGATTTTTCCTACAGTAGTTCCAGATAGCTTCAAATAAAAACCTACCTTTTTTTGGACTAGTCTCCAAATTGGAGTCCAATATTTTTTTCTGACGAAGTGCATTTTAATAAGGAAAATGTAAGCTTCTTGATACACGAAGATCTTTTTGATAAAATCTTAAGAAGAGTAATTTCTGCCAGATTTTTGACTCGCACTTTGACTTGTTTGGATGGTTTGTAGAAACTCGTGGGAGCTGCTGCAGGGAACCGACGAAAAATTTTCTCCTCGGTACATCACTCGAACAGTGTGATTTTGAATATTTTGTTGATACACTACAGTCGTTTAAACTCTTCCATCGAATGTTTACGTGTGTACTTGTTCGTCCCTTATGACCAAACTACATTGTACATGCGCATTAATGGATTTTGTGTACGTATTCTGAGTGCTGTGTCAAAATATTTTCGGTCGCCTAGTCGGTCCCTTGCCTCTCTGGCCCAGTCCCGATGGAGTTGAAGCACCTGCGGTTGGAGGCCACAGCACCAAGTGACGAACAGCACTCCCAAATCTGCTCCACCAGGGGAAAGCGCTAACTCAACTTGTGTTTGGGATTTAGGGAATTGGGTGGATTAATCTGTGGTTTTGGGTGGATTAACCTGTGGTTTGGGTGGTTGACCGGTGGCTCAGGGTGGCTAACCAGTGGCTTAAGTGGCTCGAGTGGCTCTAGTGGCTCAAGTGGCTTAAGTGGGGGAGACTTACACCCTAATTAGTGACAATTAGACAATAAAACAGAGACAGGAGACTTCTTTGACTTCTTTGGTCCCACCAGGCGAAGAAGTGAGATTTGTTCTCTCGAACTGTGCCTTTTATAGGCCAACATGGTCATATACATTCACATACAATAAATGCACCTCATTACTTAAGTACACAGGGTGCCTCAACCAATGAAAATGCAGTATTGCTTAGTAGATGACTTAAGCCACGCCCACGAA